ATCTCTCTTCAGTGTTTGCTGCAGTTCCCTATAACAAGAGTGCCCAGAGTGAAGTCAAGGAGGAAGAAAATACTGAACTGTCCTTCAGCACTTGACAGCTCTTCTGGTTCTGCTACTGAGAGCACTCTCACCCATCAGCTCCCTGGCCTACTTCCTTCTTGCCCCTCCCTCCCCCATCTCAACAGAAAAGTCTACCTAGGTGCTACTTATCAAAACAAAATGTTACAAAGAAATAGCCAGAAGTTGGAGAGACTGCAATCTCTGTTGGTGGCAGGGTCTATTCACTGACATAATTAGAGATCTTTGAAGTCCTTGAGTAATAAGTATTGAATTAAGTAATACATAAATTTACATATTTTTGTATTTAAGAAATTCACTAACGGTTTTGTTCTTATGACTTATTACCTTCATTATAGATAAATCCTGCATGAAAAAATTAGGCAAGTTCATAATTACCTGTGAGGTGTAGGTATGAGTGATATATATAACCCCATGAGCGATAGTATAAATAAAATTCCTTGCTGTTAGTGACTTTTTTTATTTGTTTGCATATGCCCTCATTGGCTACTAATTTGATCTTACCAAATTGTATTTATGAATTTTTCAAAAGTCAAGGTGTTGGAGAGTTTGGAGGGAATATGTGTAGAGAAAGTTAACATTCTGGGGAATTAGATGAATCTGGAAGATGTTTTTCTGAAATTCTCAAGCTATTTTAAAATTGTACTTAAGCTGATAGTCAATTAAAATGCAGCTTTTGAGGGGGAAAGGAGGCCGGAATAATCTTTGGAGAGTCTGCAAATTGGATTTTAGAGCACCAATTCTCATTTTCCCACCCATCTTTCCTAATAGTTTTTACAACTGCAGGTGAAGTCCTGTCATCTGCAACTATTAAATATATAGATTTTTATTGTGGGAATTAAAAAAAATTGATGAACTAGAAAATCATCAACAAAAATGAATATTTCCATATATACAGAAGGCCAGAAAATATGAATTATATATGAAAACTCAAACCTCATATAATTTGTTCCTTTTAATAACATTAAATTTAATGCTCAAATCGCCCTGCTTGTGGAGGGGACATGGTGTAGTAGATACAGTGCTCACTTTGAAGTCAGAAAGACCTGGATTCAAATTTTGACCTGGGCAGTTTTTAGCTCTATGATACTGAGCAAGTAAGTCACTTAACAAATGCCTTCCTTCCTTCATCTGTTAAATAAAGAGGTTGGACTTGAGAACCAAGGTCTCTTCTACCTCTTTGTCCCCTTCTTGACCTCACTTTGAGCTCTTTTGTGTAGTTTATATAAAAGGTATCATTGGAGGCTCTTTTCTTTTTTTTTCTTTCATCATTGCCAGTACTACCCAATTACCTCCTTCCCTAAATAAAAACCTATTTTATAACAAAAGTATCGTTAAGCAAATCAGATTTGTGTTCTAATGGTCATGTCTGGGAATGCATGTCCCATTCTGTATCTGCATCCCTCACTTTTCAAACAAAATGTAGGAGGAATACTTCATCATCAGTCTTCTGGAGTCATTATTGCTTCTGCATTTATCAGAGAGATTTAAATCTTTTGAAATTGTTTTCCTTTATAGTATTGAGATTTTGTATAAGATAATTCTCCTTGTTCTACTTCACACTGAATTGGTTTATCCAGGTCTTCCCAAGTTGCTTTGAATCCACTACCTTTCTTATGTCTTGCAGTGCAAAAAATTAATATTTTTAAAATTATTTTTCCCCCTTTTATTATTTTTTCACTTTTTATTATTTTATTTTGTTTTATCAACAATTACTTCCATAAGCTTTTGAGTTTTAAATTTTTCTCCCCCTCCCTTCCCCAGTCACTCCCCAAGACAGCATGTAATCCGATATAGGCTATACATATACATTCCTATTAAACATATTTTCACATTAGTGATGTTGTAAGTAAGAATTAGAACCAATAGAAGGAACCACCAGAAAGAGGAAACAAAACACAACAGAAGAAAAAAATAGCAAATAGTATGCTTCAATCTGCATTCAAACTCCATAGTTCTTTCTTTGGATGTACATAGCATTTTCCATCATGAGGCCTTTGGAGATGTCTCAGATCCTTGTATAACTGAGAAGGGTTAAGTCTATCAAATTAGTCATCACACATCATGGCTGTTACTGTGTACAACGTTCTTCTGGTTTCTGCTCACTTCGCTCAGCATCAGACCATATAAGTCATTCCAGGTTTTTCTGAAGTCTGCCTGCTCATCAAGGAAATTAATATTCTTATATTCATAATACAATAATTTGTTAACTTTACCCAATTGTGGGGTACTCACTTTGTTTCTAGTTCTTTACTCCCAACAAAAAGTGCTTTATAAATATTTTTGTGTATCCTGGTCCTTTCCCTCTCTTTTGTCTTTATCAGAGGTTCTTAACCTGGATTCCATGAGCTTGTTTTTAACATTTATTATTTTGGTATCATTGGTTTCCTTTGTAATCTTTTGGATTTTATTAATTTAAAAATATTACTCAGAGAAGGAATCCGTAGGTCTCACCTACTGGCCTTGCACATCTACTGATACAGTAAAGGCTGAGAACTCCTGATCTACATGTATCTTTTCATAATTTTTCCAATTTTAGAAAGCAATCCTTTGGTAGTATAACATAACACTGAATCTGTAAATTAATTTTGGGAGTATTCTATTTATATAGCATGGCCCATTTATTTCTGTAAAGACTATAGTATATATTCATAGTTCTTTTTGTAGCTTAGTTGGATTGCCAGATAGTTTATATATTCTGTAGTAATTTTGAATGAAATTTCTTTCTTTTAGGTTTTATTGGTAATGTACAGAAAGGCTTTTGATTTTTGTGGCATTATTTTATATCCTATTTTGTTGAAGTGAATTATTTCTGTTTTGAATTGAATTTCAAATGTCTTCTGAGTAAACCACCATTTGCAAAATGTGATGATTTTATATCTTCTTTTCCTATGCTTATTGTCTTTTTTCTTATCTTTTTGCTATGGCTAGTATTTCTATATCATAAAGGCAACAGTGGACAGATATCCTTGTTTACCCCCTGATCTTATTAGAAAGGCCTCTAGTGTTTCTCTGTTTACAGAATATGCTTGCTCTTGGTTTTCTATAGATACTGTTTACTATATTAGTGAAAAATCCATATATTTCTGTTTTCTACTTTTTTTTTTAACCTAAAATGGGGTTGGTTTTTGTTTTTGTTTTTGTTTTTGTTTTTTGACTAGGCAGTGGGGTTAAGTGACTTGCCCGGGTCAACAGCTAGTAAGTGTTATGTGTCTGAGGCCGGATTTGAAGTCAGGACCTCCTGAATCCAGGGCTGATGCTCTATCCACTGCACTACCTAGCTGCCCCCTGTTTTGTTTTTGTTTTTTAGGGGTTGTATTTTGTCAAACTTTATGCATTGTTATGATCATGATTTTTTTTCCTTTGTTTTTCTTATGCATGTGATTATTATCTTACCTCATTGCACCAATCCTATTTTTCTGGTCAAAATACTATATAATGTGTAATTTTTTGTAATAGAGCCTTTGTAGCTCTTAAGAGACCACAGCCTTGTGGCTAATATTTTATTAAACATTTTCACATTGATATTCATTATCACACCAACAGCCACCCACAAAAAGGGCAAGGCAGACTAGCTGAAGCAGCAGAGCAGTCTGGGGGAGAAATTGGAGGTCTCATGTGTCAGGCAAGTCCGGCTACCACTATCATGTTGACCACCATCTCCCCTCATGTGGACAGTCTGAGACAGTGAGTCCAATAAGCTGGAGAATAGCACTGTTCCCCATACTGTCAGATCTGCTTCCAGTACAGCCCCCGAATCCATCATTGAGAAGAGAGGTCATTGTGAAGAAGCCCATCTTTATCACCACCAATAGCAACTGCTGACCACCTACTAACAGGCAACATCCTGGAGACCATCAGTCCTGCTTCCAGCCCAGCCATCATAGCTATTTCTACCAGCTCTCAGACACAGAACAGGCAGGTCAGACTGGACTGAAGCATTGAGGCACCTTGAAGGAGAGAAAGGAGGTAGCATGTGCCAGACAAATCAAACCACTACCACTTCCCTTCAGACCATGATGGAGTCAGCCCAGGATCCTGAACTCAAGAGCCTTGGGTATAGCATTGCTTCCAGCCCTTGCATTCAGCCATCAGATCATCTGGGAAGCAACCCCTGTGAGCTGCAGCCTGACAACTGCTTCTGCAGGTGCTGCAGCCACCTGAAGATCCAAAACAGGAAGTTCTTGCCACCAAGGCTCTTGGTATTATGAAATGGGTCAACATCAGAAACTGACATTACATTAAAGAAGAGGCATTACTGTCGACTTCTGCGCCCCAGTGACCATGGGGACCTTTCCATCTATTTTTATGTGTTGTCTCCTCCATTAGAATTTTAACTCCTTGAGAGTAGAGACTATCTGATTTTTGTCTTTGTATTCTAACCCTTTAGCATAGTGTCTGACTCATAGTAAGTACCTCGTAGATACTTAATGCATTGTTGATTGATTCTGCTAGCTGGCAGTAGTAGCAGCAAGTAGTACAGCTAAGTGGCACAGTGGATAGAGTGCTGGGCCTGGAATAAGGAAGACTCCTCTTCCTGAATTCAAATCTGGCCTCAAACACTTGCTAGCCATGTGACCCTGGGTAAGTCACTTAACCCTGTTTGCCTCACTTTCCTCATTTGTAAAAATCTAGTTTCATCATCTCTAAACTATGGGGATTGGGCTAGATTATCTCTGAAGTGCCTTCCACTTCTAAACCTATGATCCTATGATTCTTTTTTAATCCTACAATAATTTATTTTGGAATATTTGTACTGTTATAAATAAAACTTGGTGGGCATCTGTTCCTGTATATGTTTGATACATAAAACTTTTTAACATTCTGTTATAATATGTACTACTAGCTGTATCTTATGCCTTAATATAGTTTATCTTGGCCATTTTATAACTTTATAAACATTTTTTTCATTGTATTTGCAGCCAAATGGTCGTACTGTGCCTCAAGTGCCAGAGGAGGAAGTGATTACATCTCCTCGAAGAGAAGCAGCAAAGCAGCAGCAGCAGCCGCAGCCGCAGCAGCAGCAACAGCAGCAGCAACAGCTAGATGCAGAAAAGAAAAATGAAAAGGTTAGTTGAAGTTACAGAATGTTCCCCCCTCCAGTTAATGACTTATACCTTCATAAATGAACACTTCAATCTATCCTGGAGAGCATCCTATTGTCCAGTAAAAAATGTGAGCATCCCAGGCAACAAAGTAACTGCATCTTAGAGCTTATGCAACCTTCCTCATTTATGTCATTTTAAAAATTAGGGGTCTGGACTAGATAATCTCTAAGGTCCTTTAGAGCTTTAATTTTATGATCTATGATTCATTGAATCAATATTCTCTTGTAATTAAGGCCTAACCATCTGTTCGTTGAACAATTTAGTAAACAACTTACTTCCCTTTTGATATTCCAAAATTAACTTTCATAAGATTTGTAGCTGGAACATTTTGGTAAATAGTCAACTTTTGATAATTTGTGGCATTGGTATCATTACTTTGGATTTAGTAGTTGTAAAAGTCTTGTATAATTACATGTATCTTTAAAATATAATTGATTATGTTTTTGTGCTTGATATTTGGACTTGTCACCTACTAAAGGAGGACAAGTCTGTTAGGGTTAACATTTGAGTTGTTTATTTTCATAGTGTTATTAAACTGCAAGATATCTTAGAGATCTAATCCAGCCCCTTCATTTTCACTGTAGGAGTTTTGAGAAGCATACCATACAGTTGTTACTCGAGTCATTTGATACAAACTTTACATTATGCACTTCACAGAAAAAGTTGTCTAGACAGGGGTGAGGAACCTGTGGCCTTCTAGGTCCTTGGATGGAACCTTTTGACTGAGTCCTAGTTTTACAGAACAAATCCTTTTATTAAGGGGATTTGTTCTTGAAATTTGGATTCAGTCAGAGGGTCATACTTGAGGACCTAGAGGGCCATATGTGGCCTCAAGGCCACAGGTTCCCTAGCCCTGATCTACAGTCTGTAGGATATGAGTAGTAGCTCTTGGGATATTAAGTGGAATATATGGAGCTGCTATTTTTATTTTCATCTTTATGTAGACAAAAAAAAAAAACCCAATGCTTTGTCAGTACTAAACTGTCTAGTAGAGTGCCAGTAGCTCCATTTACTTGACTGATAAGTTTTTCTGATTTCTTCATCTGTTAAAAATATTTATTGAGCACCTGTTATGTGTATGAGGGACTTTGCTGAACATGAAAAGGGATTCCAAAGGTATAAGACATGACTCTCTCATATGTCAGCTTTTCTCACTACTGCAATACTTGAAGTATTTCATTGACTCTTCACAGATTGTTTTCATGTACTCTTTCCAAATATTGGTGATTGACTTGGCAAAATTGTACTGATGAAAAAATTACTTCAGTGCAAGTATAGATATTGTGTTTCAGAAACTCATTGGATCTGGAATCAGGAAGACCTGAGTTCAAATACAGCCTCAGACACTTACTAGCTATGTGACTGTGGGCAAGTCATTTTTTAAAATAAGTTTTTGTTTTTATTCTTTAAATTTATTTTATTCTTTAAGCATCTCTCCCCCTACCTCTTCCAGAGAGCCATCTCATATGATAGTTTTTTTTTTTGAAAGGGAAGAATCAGCACAACTGATCAGTACATTAAAAACATCTGAAAACATGCAATGTGTAACACCTATGAACCCTCTCACAGAAGTGTTGTCTCATCTCTCCATTCGAGTCCAGACTGATCTTTATAATTTCATTACATTTACTTTTGATTTTTGGTGTGTTCTTTCCATTTACATTGTTGTAGTTACTGTGCTTATTGTTTTGTTGGTTCTGTTTACTTTGCTCAGCATTAGTTTGAGTGCATCTTTCTTGCTTCTGTATTCATCACACAAAACATTTCTTACAGTTCATTACATTCCTGTACCACAATTTATTTATTCCTCAATTCATGGGCATCTATTTTGTTTCCTGTTCTTCTTACCGATCACAAAAAAGTACCACTTTCAATATTTTGGAGTATGTGGGGGCTTTCTTTTTATCAGTGTCTTCCATGGAGTATAAGCCCAGCATTGGAGTCACAGGTTCAGAGGATTTGGATGTTTTAGTCACTTTATTTGTATAACTTCAAATTGCTTTCCAAAATGGTCATACCATTTCACAGCTCCATCTATAATACATCTAGGCTGAACAACCCAGCTCATCCACCTGTGATGTCCATTTGTGATCCAACTCTCCCCTGTTGCTCCAAGAAGCTATAGCATGCACTGTGGCCACCCCATGATAAAACCATTTGGGCAGATGGACTGAACCAGATTAAGGGTACCTCAGACCTGTTAGTGAGTTGGGATGACTACTATAAGCATATGAAGACTTGCCCCCAGCAGAATGGATAGGTAAAAATATTTGTTCAGTGGCCATGAAGGTGGCTGAAACAGGTGCTGTAGAGTGTTTAGAGCTTGCTCAGATATCGAAAATGCCAAGTTCATCCACTGCATGCCAGGTTATCACCAATCTTCTTGACTTTTGTCCTGCTACTGGACTTTGATGATCCTGGAAGATATAGTAAGGCTGACTGCCTCACTTAAATCTAATTCACACAGTCATCAGCCATCACTGTGATATCATTGATCCTCTTAGAAAATGAAGGATGAGCAACATCATTAATATGCCAATATTCCACAACTTCTCTAACATTGGTTTCTTTTTTTTTTTTTTTTTTTGGTCATTTTTGCCAATTTGCGGGGTGTAAGGTTAAACCTCAGTGTTGTTTTGATTTCTGGGCAAGTTACTTTATAAAATACTTTAAAAATCTTAAAATACTAATGCTTTTACATGTTATATAATACTATTATAATTATTCTTGCCATAAGAAATTGGTCAAAGACAGAGAAGCAGGAGATTTCTGGGGCAGATTTACTCCAATTTAGCTGGATTATAGGTTTGGAGAAGATACAAGATAAAGCTAGAAAAGTAAATCAAAAGTGTGAAAGACCAAATGCCAATTTAAGCAGGAGAATGACATGATAAATGCTGTATTTTAGGGGGGGAAGGGGAATCAGTAATAAAGTGCAGGATTATTTGAAGGGAAATATGTTGGGCCTTGAGGTTATTTTGACTTTGAGTTATTAATTAGTGACTCTTCCTTGGATTCTGCTTTTCTGGGTTTTTTTTTTTTTTTATTCATTTTGAAACTTAAACACAAAATGAGGAAAAAAAGAACATTTCCACATGCACAGCAAAACAGAGGATTCAGTATAAAACCATGAATTTCTACTTCAGACTGCTTTTTTTTAAACTGTGTAATAAATACTACACTGTTTTCAAAGCAACCCATCTTTTTTGTGCTTCCTTTTCTCCCTCCCTCCCCATCCTGTCCTAGAGAAAGCTACAATTAAACACACACATATACACACTTACTTGAATACATATATATATGTGAAGTCATACTGTACATACTTTCTCTGGAAGTGGATAGCATCTTCGTTCATAGGTCCAAGTCTTTATATGTCTTTCTAAAATCAACCAGTTCATCATTTCTTATAGCACAATAGTATTCCATCACAATCATATACCACAACTTGTTTAGCCATTCCCCAGTAGAAGGGCCTCTATCATTTTAACCAATCTGATAGGTGTAAGATGATATCTCAAAGTTGTATTAATTTGCATTTCTCTCATCAATAATGACTTATCATTTTTTTATATGACTATAGTTTTGATTTTTTTCAAAAAACTATCTTTTCATATTCTTTGCTTAATTATTGGTGAGTGACTTATTCATATATATTTGACAATTTGAGGTCTGGTACTACTGAAATGCCTTTCTTTACATTTTTTCATTAGTTTTTTTGAAATTCTTGACCCTTTGTTCTTCCAAATGAATTTTGCTGTTTTTTCTAATTCAGTAAAATAAATTTTTTAGTAATTTATTCGGATGGCACTGAATAAATAGATTAGGTAAAATTGTCATTTTAATATATTGGCTTTGCCTACCCAAGAAAAATCAGTGTTTCTCTAGTTATTTAAATCTGACTGTATTTGTAGAAATAGTGTTCTCTAATTATGTGCATGTAGTTGTTGAATCTGTTTTGGTAGGTATATTCTCAAGTATTTTATACTTTCTATGGTTATTTTAAATGGAGTATCTCTTGCAGGCTTTTGTTGATGATAGATAAAAATGCTGATGATTTATGTGGATTTATTTTATGTTATACTACTTTGCTAAAATTATTGTTTCAACTAATTTTTTTAGTTGAATCTTTAGGATTTTCCAAATATATCATATCCTTTGTAAAAGAAATAGTTTATTACCTCATTTCCCATTCTGCTTCCTTCGATTTCTTTTTCTTTTATTGCTATTACTAGCGTTTCTAAAACAATATTGAATAATATTGGTGATAACAAGAGTATAGTTTCCCTGTTTGTCTCTTTAAATCATTTTAGCTTTAACTTTGAGATCATGTTTGCTACCCCTCCTTTTTTTACATCAGTTGAAGCATAATAAATTCTACTGCAACCCTTTATTTTAACATTGTATATCTTTCACTTTTAATTATGTTTCTTGTAAATGGCATATTCTAATTTTTATTCCATGCTGATATGTTTTTATTTTATGGGTAAATTCATCCCATTCACATTCAAAGTTTTAATTATTAGTTGTACATTTCCCTTCATCCTATTTTTTTCTCAGTATTTATCATTCTGGCTCTGTTTACCCTATCCCTCCTAACATGTCTAATTTACTTCTAACCACTACCTTGCCCTTCTATTCCTTAATCTACCTTCCCCTCTAAGTCCCTCCCTTACCTCTTTCCCCACCTTCTTAATTCTTAACCTATACACCTTTTTTTCTTTTCTTTCTCTCTCTCTCTTCTTCTTCTTTTTTTTTTTTTTTTTGGATGAGGCAATTGGGATTAAGTGATTTGCCCAGTCACACAGCATACACCTTTCTAAAAGTCCCTCCCTGGCCCTGTCTTCTCTCCCTCTTATTTCTTTATAAATTTACAAGATGTGTATACCCTTCTGGGGTTTGTATTGTTCTCTCTTTAACCCAGTTCTGATGAGAGTAAGGTTCCAGCACAACCAGCCTTCCAC